AACAAACACTCAAAACACAAAACACAAAACGTTTTCAAAACACAAAACACAAAACTGAAACACAAAGAGAACAGCACCTTAGTTTTTTAGGACTTCTGATTGCTATTTTCATCCTATCTCTGGTCAATAGATAATCCTTTAAAGTGTCTTGTTCTCTAAATGGTTCAATTTGATCTAAACCTATGGATTCCTCACTATGGTTTTCTCTCATCTCATTTTCTCTTTGTTCTAAAGGACCTTGAGGATTTTCAAGCTCCACCTCAAACTAATTATCGGTATCAATTTTAGTTGTTTTCAGTTCAAGTCGCGGTGTAATTTTCTCAATCTTAACATGATGCTTATTCTTAGTTTTAAGGCAGAGCATTTCATTCTCATTGAGAGTTACATCCCTGTTGATAACTACTTTAACTCTACATTGACCCCTAGCCCACGGTCTATAACCTTTAGTGCCTTGAGGGTAACCTAAAAACATATATTTTTGAGCCCTTTGGTTCAAGTTTTCCTATATTTTGATGAAAATAGACAACACATCCAAAAGTTCTTATGTTGTCTAGCCATAGTTATTATACTAGCTAAATGAAAGAATAAATTGTGGAAATTACAAGAATGGTAATGGACCTATTAGTAGGCTCTACTTTAGGTCACGAGGTTCAATATCTGAGATGAGAAGATCGATGGTTGCCTCTAGTTGAATAGAGTCTAGCTGTTTGATTGACTGGATAGATTCTAACAAGTCAAAGGAGATTTCAAAGTAAAACTGGTCATTCGATTTATTTTCAGGTACTATAACATTCATGTAATGATTCCAAGCTAATATAGAGGGAGGAGAACGAAAAGTAGTAGAAGAGATGTGGCAACGTTTTCATCGGAGTTAGGAAAGAGTGACTTAGGACCTTTACTAAAGTAAGTGTAGAAGATGAGAGACAAAGGGAAAATCGTAAGTAAAAATGGAAGATTGTTCTTTATACTTATATATGTATTAGGAGCAGGATACAGAAGGATGAGATTACGAAATTTGAAAGTTCCTTCATTATGGAGGCTATATAGGTTCCCAAGCTTAATTACAGCACATGGTAGGAAATGTGTGCTCAGAGGCTTGTTGAAGAAGGCAACCATGCTTTAGACGTTTAAAGTAATTTGAAAGGTTTGATATGAGGTCCCATGCACGTGTGACAATTAAGGTTGACCATCGTCCTGGCCTGTGTAACCTTAACATTTGTGTGCTGACATAATATTTGGACAGTGAAACGATGGGTGAGTAGTATTTGACACAACCTCAAAAAGAGGGTACTTAGTTGAGGCCAATAATTAATAATCGTATACTCATGATAAATAGTGTCGTTGACCCCGTACTCGTTTACTTCGGAGGTCTAGTGATGCTAGATAAAACACTGCCTAAGTAAGGCGGTTTATCATGGGTACATGCACGGTGTATTAATCAACATATTGGTTCCTAACGCAGTGACATCAACAAGTTGATCGACTGAGGAAGCATATGAATGTAGGGCTCAATCAAGTTGTGCCCAACAATTTGATTAGTTGTTGACAACTGACCACTTGCCACGCCACTAGATATCTATAAATAGACCTTGTTCCCTCCATTTTTGATTCATGAAAAACACATAATTTTAAGTCCTTCACCAAAAATTCTCCCTCTACTAACTAGTGACACATTCAGAGCATGTTTGCCTAGGATTAAAATCCGATTTTAATATGACTGTTATTGGATCTCACTCGTCTAATAAAAGTCAACATTAAAGGCTAATTTTTCAATTTTAATCCAATTTTAATCTCTACCGAACACGCTCTCATTATCCCCCCAAAAATATTGCACCACCTCGTACCAATTCACAACATCGCATAGGAAAACTTATTAGGGCACTCTTATATCATCAACGTGCACTTCATTTTTCCTAAAGACTCCCTAACCTTTTATGAGCCGAGGCATAGTTCAAGTAATCAAAGCACTATGTACCAAAAAAATAACCATTACAAGTTAATGCGACTTTAGTGAAGTCGCGTATGATCGATGGTAACTGTTTGAGTTTCATTAAAATTAGTTTTTAGAAAAACTATGTTTTGAAATAATGATTTTTCAGAGAATGCGTGATAACAAAAGAGAAGAAATTTTGAATTTATGTGTAATATTATTTTATTACAGAGTTGAACGCATTTTGCAACGAAATGGAGCCCAAACAGTGCTTAGTTAACTTTAAATTGGACACTGGGCAGCGCCCTCGCAGACAGTTTTGAAACCCTGCCCTAGCCGTAAACCGCCACTCCCACCAGCGACGGGTGACCCTACCGGTACTCTCAATTTCTATTTCGGAACGAGCTGCCGCTGGTTCTAGGGTTTCAAATTCCGGAGCTCATTTTCAAATTTCGCATTTTCTCAATGCAAGCCCCGCCAATGGGAACACCATCTGCAACTCCGACTACAGCCGATCAAAATTCCAACACTACAACAAAAACCGTCGACGCCTCATTGTGGTGGGACCCCTTCAGTTCCTTACTTGCTGACCTCGAAAACTCCTTTCTGGCGTCCGAATTCCCCCCTTATCTGGTAAATTTACACGTATCATTAACGTTTGATTGAGCTTCTAAAAAGTGCACATTTTTAAGGATGAATGGCTTCGAGACTTGAACTCAGGCGTTGATCTCTCTAAAATTTAAGATGATAGAGTGTCACAATAATTCATTTCAATTGTGCTTTAAACATGTAAAGATATAAGCGTGTACATGTGGGCGTGTTCCTGTATTGAGTGTGTGTTGATTACTGAGATTGGATGAAATTTTCAGGAAAAGCAGTTGAAGGACAATCATGCTTGGTTTTTGAACACCATTTTGCTATTTAAACCTCCAAATGAGAAGTCAAAAGAGGCTCTGGATGCGCAGAAAATAAAGATTGGTTCTCATGAGGTGAATGTACAGCCCGAACTGAAAGACGTCGTGCTCAAAATTAGTTCAGTTCTGGTATAATTTCAGTTTGTTCTTTCTCTTTGTTCATTAGTTATAATGTTTACTAGCTGTTATTAATCAGTGTGATGTGCTCGTGGGCTGCTCGCATTTCTTTCATTAATTTTCCTACTTTTTATTATAAAGAGAATAACATGACCTGCACGAATGTCAGTGTTTAGATGAGGTGCAATCGTACATTATTGTCAGAAGATCGATCACGAATAATGATCTGGAAATGGACAGCACACATCAAAATATTCTTGATTTGGTTAGTATATTTCTTCCTCTGAACTGTTGCATGTTCAGGTGTTGTATTAACTCTGGCTTCATTGTATTTCCTCTTGTTCTCATGTTAATATCTGGATATAATTTGCCTACTTTCTCATGAACAATGGCCATTTTTAGCATAAAAGAGTTATAAAAGAATGCTACCGGATCACACACAAGCATTTGTTACCTGCTGTTGTCTAGTCTGATTATCATCAGCTTCCATGTTAATAGCTCGTGGCTTGTAACAAGAAATATGGTTAACAGTTACGGTCAAACTTCTGTTCTGCCTGTAAACGTTACTGTAAACATATAATAATACAAGCATTACCATGGGCATGAAATTGCTGCAGTGCTGAAATTTTTGTTTCCATGAAGCTTAATCATTATCTTAATTATTATTGATTTCATGTTGAAATCTGAGTTGCTGAAAACAGTCCATTTGCCTTTTCGCTAAATTTTCTATGTTTCTTTTCCTTAATCCTTTTCACTTTCTTTATAAAGGTTATGCTGGAGTACTATGTAGAAAGACAACGTTTGTTGAAATGCACAAGGCAGATACTCATGCATGCGTGTAAGTCCGTCTCTACTTTTGGTTTCATGTTACATGAATGATACACACATAAAATTGTATATAAGAAACATGCGCTTGATATCCACAAGATCACTATATACTTAATGTGTGTCAGCTGTCTCTTTTGTTGCTATCTTGAAGGTTATCTGAAGGATTTGCTGTTTGCAATGAATTGTATTATTGACTCCATGTGAATATTGATGTTTACTTCTCTTAATGAAACTTACATTTACATTTTCCATTAAATATCAGTTTATTTTTAGCTTCCAAAAGCTTAGTTTAACTTCTTCTTTTTTCCGCTGTATGGCTTTTAAATAAGTTTTAAGTTGCCGCAGCAGCTATAATTGCAATGCATAAGCAAAATAACTTTGATGTCATGTTGCTGAGCTAGGAATTTAATTCAATGTTTGTTAAGTGTTTCTCAGCTCGTGTTGTCTCTATCTAGATTTTAACCTGCTGTAAACTTCAGTAGCTATCAATTGGGTGAATGAAAATAATAAGCTATGGAATCACAAACATGTGGTTGTGAGTCTTTTTTTTTTTTTTAAAAAACCGTGGATGTCCGGCCAACTTGTGTGCACCTTGACTAATTCCATGGGGCCTGAAGTTTACAATCGGGTACTCACCTCAGTGGCCCTGAGGGGACTCGAACTGGTGACCAGCGGAGATCAAATCCAATACCTGACCAATTGAGGTGGTTGTCAGTCTTGATGCAGAAGATTTATTTATTGCCTGAAGCTCAAGCACTATCCATGCTTCTGGATTGAGTCTACATATTGTTCCTTTTCAACTTAAAGAAATTTTTTCTTGCTGTTCTGTTGAACATGTTATATTTATTGGATTTTGGTGCTACATATGTATTCTCACCTTAAACATTAGGCATGGATCAGAAAAATTGCCCATGGATCACAATTTGGTTTGTGTTATAGTTATTATAATCTGAATCTTACTTGAGGTTCAAAGCAGTTTAGATTATTCAAATCCTTGCAGGATTTTAGGTTTCATTTATTACCGTTAAAGTAATAAAGAAGCATATTTCATACAAACTTCTTTCAAACAGTTCAGGAGACATAAAAGAATGGTAGATACGAGGTACACAATTCTCAAGAATGGTGGACTTTTGGTAGACTTGACGAGTTCTAAATTGATTGAAATATCAGCTACTGATTGCAGAAATAGTGTGTATAGGAAGGGGGAATATATACTTTTGGTGTTCAATATGGAAAGAAGTTATCAGAAACAGTTAGTTTCATACTTTAACTAATAAAATTGCAACTGTATCTAAGATAGCTAGCAAAGATTCTCTTTGCTTTTCTTGTTTAAACTAAATGATTAGAGCATGGGGCACTTTTTGACCTTAGAAAAATGGATAAACGGTTACGTTTGTTATAATTTCTATGTTATTGTTAATAGCACCTGGTTTAGTACTGTTGCTTAGAGTATGAGGGCAATCTGTTAACCTAGGAATAGTGGTACCAGTGGAGTTGTATTTATGTGGATCCCTATTGAGACTGTTGATAATCCTTTTGAGGTTTCATTCTTCTATTTCGTTCTTATATTTCAGCAAATTTAGTTTTTATCATGGTAGTAACAAGATCTGGTCAATCTTTCTTTAACTCATGTAAGGCATATCAACAAAGCCCACCTATTTAACTTGGCAGTACTTGACCATTAGCTGGCAGATGTAATTTCAAAACCAAAGTTACTGTGAGGTGCCAGAGCAGACCTTAACACCAATTTCTTCTAGCCAACATCTAATTAATGAGCTTTCACAGTTTCGGTCTCTCCCTAAGAACAAATCTAATTTTTAATCACACGGTTAATTTAACATATATTTTTACTCAGGAGAGAATTTTTTCCAAGTGAAAAATGAATTTTTTGGAGAATACATGATTAAAAAGTAGGGAAAAGTTATGGGTCCCATAGAATGTTTGGTTGAAAATGATTTTGGGGAAAAATGATTTTTAAGAGATCTCTTCTAAACGAAGCCCTAATTTGTTTAATGACCTTTTGTTTTTCAAAAAAAAAAAAGAAAAGAAAAGAAAAAAAAAGAACTTGCTTTAATATTTTTTTAGTTTCACTCGAAAGTAAGGGGTAACATAGGTTGCTAACTTGACCATTTTTTATCGATACAGTCTTTGCTTTCTAGTTCTCATCCTATTTGTTCTAATCTTGGTGCGTTCATTTTATTTTTCATTGATATTATTTAAGATATTATGATACACATTTTCTTCAAGTGCTAATGTTGATATTCAAATACAGTATATCTTGGAACGCGATCAGAAGGGTCTGGTGTATCAGAGGAGGCTCAGAGGTTGATTTCTGATGGACTTGAAAGTAAATTACTTTCTGTCTTCCAGGACCTTCTATCTGCCAACTACCCTGAGCAGATGGTAAGTTTAATTGGAAGATTTGAAGACTGATGCTCAAGATTTTCACTAATTTTGGCCATCACACTTTAGATATTAACTCATTGTTCTTGTTGCCTACTATATGTCTGGTCCTAAATCTTAACGTACATCTGGGGACATGCCTCACAGGATGTTGACCTCTACACTCTATGGGCTGAGGAGATTCTTATTGAAGAGAATTTGATCCTGGAAGTTCTTTTCCTGGCTTATTATGAGTCCTTCTGTACTTGTAATGCAGAAAGCTGGAAAAGATTGTGCTTGCTTTATCAGGTAATCTTTTATTGAGGTGGTTGCATTTGCCATCGTATTTGTTCCCCTTCTATGTTAATTTGTGTTTAATCAATTTCAGGACATCATCACTGGTTCATACAACTTTGGGAAACTGGCAATATCACCAGAAGCAGTTCGTTCTATATATCATGCCAAAGTGCAGCTGCTACTTATTCTCATAGAGGCTTTGGACCTGGAAAATCTCCTTCAAATGGTCCACGATGAAATTCCGTTCAGGTTTTGACTTTTGAGCAATTTTTAGTTCCCTTTCTTGTCATCTATACTAGGATTGCATGACAAAGTTATTTTTTCTCTAACAGTAAGAAAAAGCCATTATGATTCTAGATTAAAAAACTTTTAGGAAAGTGAATTAACCAAAAAACCATTTGTAAAAGCATGTGATGAGGGAAAGCATGTGCAGAAACAGATAAATGAAGCTGCGATAATTGCGGATTGTTGATATATAGGTTGTTCATCAAATGACAGAATTCAAAGTTTCTATATGGCAATAACTTGAGTGTCAAGGTCATGCAAGTTACATACTAAGAGCACAAGCACATAAAGTGGGAACTAATGGGAGAGTTTGAGAGTGTCTGTTTTAAGAATTAATGTGTTGTAGAGGCTGACATAAGTGCCTAGTGCATAGTAATTGAGGTTTTTATATGATATGCAATTCGCTGGATGTTTATAAGGAAAAAAAAATTTAGTCGTAAATTTGAAGTCTTGAAGAAATAAGTTAAATGCTATCCTGTTGCCTCCCATTTGTTTTTCATTTTTGTGTACATTGCTAGCCACAATTTCAAAATAAACAGAGCAAATAGCAAAAAGAAGGTAGCAACAAATCCCTTAGACCAACACCTCCTTGTCGTACAATATTGCCCCATTGTTCACCACAACCTTGGACTTAGATCAAAAGGTGTAACAGTGGTGGTGATCGGAGGCCCGGGGGTGGTTAAAGGCAAAGTTTAAAAAGGCGAAACTAAGTACTGAGGCGGTTTTTCTTTATGAGGCGAGACGTAAGCCTCGAGGCGGATTGAGGCGTAGTCTCACAAAAAACAAAAAATCGAAGTAAAATAATTATAAAATAATACAAAAATACAAAAAAAACTGGAAGAAAGCTGGCTATGGTGGATCAGCATAAATCTGGGTATAGTGTATTGTTGCATGAAGATTTGACAATGATGTGGGGATATTGAAGAGATGTTGCAGATTAAGAAGTATGGATACATGAGTTTTAGAGTTTGTACAAGTGATTGGATGAAATCGTGCGTGTTAATTATATAAATAAAAACATTTATATAATTTATAATTTTCAGATGAGTATATGAAACAACTAATTACATGCTAGATTTACTGAACCCTAAGAAGAAGAAGAAGAAAAAGAAAAGAAGAAAAACATACATGATGAACTGAAGAAGAAGACGATGCTTTTCTTGAATTCTGACTTTTGAATTTTTGTTGAATCTGTTCCCTTTTTGGTCCTCTAATTTCTGGCTACCGTTTAGTTTTTTAGGTATTTTATTGTTTTGTTTAAGCCCAAAACACCTTTTTAAATGAGCCCTTTTCTTTTTTAAAAAGGGCATTTTCTAATTTCTTTTCATACAATTGAAAAATCAAATTTTAAATGAAGCGCATGCCTCATGCTTCATGAGGCGCTCACCTTGAGACGTGCGCCTCATATTTAAAGGCGTGAGCCTCATATTTTTAGCCTAAAAAATATCGCCTCGAGGCATACTACATAAGCCTCACAGTGAGGCGGGCCTCACTACCGCCTTTTTAAACCATGGTTAAAGGGAGTTATTGGTTTGAGGTAGATCTCTTCTTGCTACACATAATCTGTGATTGCTCTCATTTGAGGGACCATTAATGCATTGAAGGCTTATTATGTGTGATAATGGCTTGTGGGGAACTAGTTCTGTCAATATTTCATTGTGTGTAATAGGGTAAATATTATATAACATGGATGCAATGTTTTATTTTTATAATTAATTTTGATATAGAAGATGTATTATCTTTCACCTGGGGATTATAATTATTAGATTGTTCCACCAGGAGCCCTAGATCACCATTTACGGATGATCAGGAATGTTTTGACGTGGTGGTGGTTTGGGTTGTCTGTCCGTTACTCTCTTTGACATCACATTCTTCCCTTCATGAAGAGAAGAACTGGTGTAAGGAATTCTTATAAAATTGGACAAATTTTGAAGTGCTAAATTAGATTTTGTTACAGCTAGATATTGCGGGCAAATATACCTAGAAATGTTGTTTGTTTGTTGAACTTATTAACCCATAAATAATGGTCTTTCTGTACTCTAGTACATTCAGTATAAAGATTTTCCCCATTCTATAGTCGCTGAATATCTGCTATTTTTACTCAGGCAGGGTTCTGTTGCTTTTTCCGTAACTGATGTCCAAGAAATGGATTCAACGATATCTCGTTTTAATGCTTTTGAGACCAAAGAAGCAGGTCCTCTGATTCTTACATGGGCAGTGTTTCTCTGTCTCATTTCTTCTCTTCCGGAAAAAGATGAGAATAATTTGCTGATGGTACATAATTTTAGAATGTAGCATAATTGTGTTTTTTTGGAAAAATATATTTTCATTGCTGTTTTTCTCCTTTTGATGTGTCAGGAGATCGATCATGTCGGTTATGTTCGTCAAGCTTTTGAGGTTTCATCTTTGAGTTATTTTCTCGAAATTCTTGAGAGTGAAACATTGAAGGATTCTGATGTAAGTAAAATCTCCCTTGATAGTTGTGAATGTATTTAGGTGTCTTGTTGCTACTTTACATTGTTTCTCATGTAGTTCACTGCCTAACTATTTCACTTTCTACTTTATACTACCATGATATTTTGTTGTTTGTTTAGTTTGACTATTGTTTTCAAGTATGACTGTTCCTTTGTCTCCTATTTTCAGGGTCCTATTGCTGGTTACCAAAGTGTTTTGAGAACATTTATATCCGCATTTATTGCATCTTATGAAATCAGTCTCCAGGTATTTCACTATGCAAATACTTGCAAATAGTAGCATGTTCTAACAACTTGATCCACTTTCTGTATGCTGCAGTTTGAGGATAAAAATCTAAAAGTAATTCTGGAAATCCTTTGCAAAATCTATCGAGGAGAGGTTTGGATATCTAATTTTTTTTAATCTTAAGAAGCATTATATCCTCTTTCTTGTTTATGTCATAGATCATTGATATGGTGCAGGAGTCACTTTGCGTTCAGTTTTGGGACAGGGAGAGTTTCGTCGATGGTCCTATTCGGTCTCTTCTTTGCAATTTGGAGGGTGAGTTTCCATTCAGGACTATTGAATTTGTACAGTTCTTATCAGCCCTTTCAGAAGGCGCTTGGCCGGCAGAATGCACGTAAGTGACACTTGTTATTGTGTTTCTTCCATTTCCTTACCTTGTGCAACCATCTCTGTATAATAAATGATTGCAGTGTAGTGCACATATCAACACTAAGGCACTCTCTATTTGGTCTTCAATCTTCATGGCAAGCCATATGTAGATCTAAAGCTATTTATTATGGGGCTGATTTTAGCATTGGCAAACAGAGTTAAGATTTAATTAACTAAATAATATCAAATGGTGGCTACTGTCCAGAATACTATTATTTTTTGGTTTGGGAGGTGGGGGAAAGCATGGTGAGGTGGCTCAACAAAGGAACTAATTAAATGGCTTGTATTTAGATTGAAGCATAACATGGGTTCAGCATTAATTTGAAACAAATGAAGAGAGATTGTTAGTTTTGTTTATTCTTTTTCTTCTTCTTTTTGCCAATTAAGTGTGTGGTTATTGAAATGCAATGTATCGATTTCTAAACCAATGGAAAGTAAAGATCTTCCAAGTTTTTCTCCCTTAATATAATGCCATGGATTTTATTGATTTCCACCTGGTATTTTGCCAAAACACCAACATGTGTTGTTTTGGAATCAACTACTAATATATGTTGGCCACTTCTTCAACAGATTTAATTTTCTTGATAAATCAGTTGGCTTATCATCTCCATTTGAGATAAGTAGTGACTCTGTGGTGGATGCTTCTTCAAAGATCATTGAAGCGCGCCAGCCTGTTCATATTCCTGGTGTTGAAGGCTTTGAAATTCCCAGTAGATCTCGCGGTCATGTGTTGAGAATGATCGATTGTAATACTGCTCTAGTACGGTGGGAGGTAAACAATGAGTTGTAGTTTCGATTTTGGTCCACTCTTTGTTTATTTGTTTCAGTATTCTCATGTCATTTATTTTATATGCAATCAAATTGATTTATGTCGAGTGTTCACTTGTTTTTGGATGCAGTTGATGAATGCATCATTGTAAAAAATTATAATCTCAGTATGATTTGCATTCAATCATTAATTTTAACATGCATCACATTTATTACCCACTTATTATCCACACATTTCTCCCAAACAAGCACATAATTTAGAGTTTTTCATCTGTTAACAGAATGATATCTAGCCCGTGTTTGAGCCCAATTCTTTGAAAAATTATTTTTTTCTCAAATTTATTTCAACCACACATTTTCCCAATAAAATAATTTTGCATGTAAACCCAAAACTTTTTCCTACTTTTTAACCACACATTCTCCAAAAATTACTATTACAAAATCTATTTTTTCGAAAAATGGGGCTCAAACATAGCCTTAGTTTTTCATCTAATTTTTGATATTTGAAATGGTTTACTCTAGTGAAGTCATTCTATATGCCATGCAATGACCAGGATTTAAGAAGACCACAACCAATATTGTTACCCATTTCATCCAAAAGGCTGGGTTACATGTGTTCATTTCAATCACGTCTTCAACAAATGTTTTCTTTTTCTTGATTAAAAAGGTCATAACTCATGTAACTCTTCATTTCCTTCTGAAGCAATGGAACTCTTTTTGGATGTGACTGTTCACTTTCTTTATAGGGGCTATATTCGACATTTTACACATGTATTAGGTTGCCTTAATATTACCTCTTTATAGAAAAAGGCAAGACAAACCTTTTTTTAGGGTATATTTGGCAGTTTGCACATGAATTAAGTTGCTTTGGTATTTCTTTCCTATATATAGGGTTTCTGGACTAATCTCTTTTTTCTGTCTGTGTGTAAAGAGAACATAATAGAGAGGTGTGAGTTCAGATACAAATATTATGATATCCTTTTCTTTGTTATAGTGAAAATCTTACACCGGCAAGTGGATGTAGCTCACGCATTGAGAGTGAACAATGATAAACCGCATGTTCTATACTTGCTTTTGTCTATTGTTTCACGTTAATAAATGCTCTTGGTATTACATGATTTCATTTTATCCATAACAACATCATTTCTCAGGATATGAGAGAATAAAAAAAGGAATTTAGATAGATCAAATCTATTCTTCTCTAGATCTATGTATATACTAAAGTCTTTAGTGAAAGAAATAATATGATGAATTTGCGTTTTTCTATCAAAATAATATGATGAATAAATAAGTTAAAGTTTAAAGTCTAAAAGTAGCTAGATTATAGTAGTTTGTAGTGCTAAACTGCATCTGCATGTATATTTGGGTGTGTAGCTTTTCAATAGGAGTGGAAGGGATCTTCCCAGGATAATGCTCACATTACACTATTTCCCTCCCTTTCGGGTGTAGCAGCAGTGGGATGAAGGGGGTCTCTAATGCTAGCTCTACCCGCTCCCCCTTCTCTGTTAATTTTTCTCAATTTGGCAATCAATGCTCGAATCAGCTGGCGTCCTCAATAGGAGTAGAAGGGATCTTCCCAGGAGAATACTCTCCTTACACTATTTCCCCCCAATTTGGCTGGGGTAAAAGTAGGGTGAAGGGATGCAATGCTAGCTCTACCCTCTGTTAAACTTTCTCAGTTTTGGCAATCAATGCTGAAATCTGCTGGGGTCCTTATTGTTTGTTTCTTGTTATTTGTTTTCTAATTCCTTATTTCTGTTCTTGTCATCTTTACACGTATGGGAAATTTGGGTGCATGGTTTTACTAACTTCGATTTTCTGCCTAAGTTTTGGTGGTGCTATAGTGGCCTATGTATGGACTTTCATTGCACGTTTCAACTTTTTTTCTTTTGCTCTTTAAAATATTGTGCACCACTTCTCACTGATTTAATATTTTTATTTAGGCTTGTAACTCATTTTGCCTCAAAGTTACTGGCAGCGTGTTATTATAGAAGTTCTGGTTTAATCATGTTTGTTGTGCAAAATTTTTTTATTTTCATGGCACTGTTATAATTGTTCATTGTTGATAATGATTTTAACGTGCATTGTGATGTATCCTAATAATTTCTATTTTGGAGTTGTAGCTTTTCCCTGCACTTCTTTTCCCATTTCTGGTTTTATTGACGTTTAGATTATTTTGTGCAGTACACTGAATCTGGAGTGCTTGTGCTTCTTCTGCGTTTTGCTCAAAAGGTGTATTTGAAAAGCTTTGAGGAGACCACTGTTACTCTTGATTTGCTAAGTCGATTAGTGACTTTTAACACGGTAATCTATTTTGAAGTAGATGATTCTTGCGCGCTGAGTTATTGTCGAAGACTTTGTGCTTCGCATCCATTAAATTCACGTAGCTCTCAAATATGCATCTCAGTGTGATATGCTATACGAAGTCAGGAAAATCCCTTTCTTCTCCATCTATTGTTGATTATTGGTTTGTTTGAGTTGATTAATATTCATCGAGTAATTAATGAAAGCATATAGTGAGTTAAAGTGATTTAGACATGCTACTTGACTGTAGCTTTTGATGCTCTTGTCGAGGTATGTATCCATCTATAGTAAACATCGCGTGATAAACATTGCTGCTGCAATGGATAACAAAACAAGGTTTGGATCAATTTTTTTTTTTTTAAATCTTGGCTTGACTTTGCAGTTTTTCTGATGGTCCGTACTTGGAAGTGCAAAAGTTGTGCTTAATTTTTTTTTCCTCGTTTGGATGAGGGGGTAGAAGGGTGTATTGGTGGATTTGGGAGGATAGTAGTTGGTTGTAGCTTGAGCAATGATGCCTTGATAATGTCCCATTTATCTATCAAAACGGTAAATGTCATGTTGGTTCTTGAGCAGTATTTATTCTTTCATATTGGGTTGAAAGATAGAGTAGAAGTATTCTTAAAAGGTTATTTTTTGCAGTACTCTTTGTTGTAATTATAAAACAAACTAGTCATAGTTTTGTGATTTGCAGGCCATATGCTATGCTCTAATGGATGCTGGGATTTCTTCGAGTGGTGAAGTAACTTCAGCAGGAAAACCAGAAAAATATCCGTTGTAAAAATCTTAAACTTTGCATTTCTTCCTTGTCTCGTGGTTTATTATTGTCCATTTTATGTTGGACTTGTTCGCTTCTGGGTTTAAGTTGTAAATCCTCGTCTTTTGGCTGCAGTGTTGATTTGGTTGAGATCCTATGTGCTTTGGTCAAAAGCCTACCTCCCAACTGCAATGGTGCAATAATGATGTCCATGGGAGTTACTATTTTGTCAAAAATGTTAAAATGGTAATCATGTCGTTTCTCTTGGTCCTCTCAAGTTTCCATGTACTTAACTTACTGTCTTTTCCCGTAGATGATCCTATATATACAACAGAAGAGTAAAATATTGAACAAATAATGTCTTTGACTCTCTGAACTTGCTGTCTATAAATATTGGTATGTTGTTTTCGAAAATATCAGTTAAATAACACTAAACAGGTGTCAGCGTTACGCATTTGTACTGTCATGTTCAAGTATCACTAGGTGTCACTTTCGTGGTATAGGGCTTTGGCACATGAATTGCGCAAATCTAGATACAGCCTCTCTAGTTCATCTGGAACCTTGCACCATTGTCATTTTTTCACTTTCATATATTCTAATTTCCCCCTTTCCCAAATTTCCATGCAGCTTGCCTTCTCAATTAGCAACAAGGGTGATGAAGGCAAATATATTTGATCTTGCCTTGGAGACAAATCCCTTTAATGTTAGCTCCATTGGTTTATCAAGGTGAATCTGCTTAGATATACTCTTATATCGAATTGCAAATTTTGGCGTTTGTAAGATTTATAAGCTAAAAAGGTTCTGCTTGTTGCATATTTTTTGGTTCTGTTCTAATACAGTTTTATATCTACAAGTCCATACCTCTTCACAAAGTGAACCTGTGTGCATGTGTTGGTGTGCGCATGCACGCACGCATGTGTGTGCGCGCGCACGCGCCTGTAATACATGCACAGGTGCACATAGTACATAAGAAAATCAAAGGAAACTTATATTGAGGTTATTTCCGCATGAATTGCTGCAGTGGATCGTGTTTGCTTTCTGGAAGGCTTGCCAAGATGCTCTTGATTGATTGTGAGCAAAGTGATTGCTCGCTGACACTTTCAGGCACGTTATTTATCTCTCTCTTATTATCAATTTGTTTGATCTTTAATTTGAAGTGGAAGTGTTAACACTTGCACAGTGGTGTTGGTTCAGCAATTAAGCTTGAGCCTTAATCTCAGTGGTTCTACAATAAACTACCCTCCCCATATATCTCCCAACTCCTTTGGGCCAATTAACCACTTCCAATAACACGTGGAAGTAGTATTGGTTCCTTTTTCCTTTAATGGGAAGATTTTGAGTATGTTTATGAGTTACAAATGCATAACAGTGTATTATTTATCCCTTTTCTCTTCTCCTTAATTAACAATACCATTGCTTGATTAGCTGTATTTTTGAAATCTTGTTCGATTTCCTGGTTACTGATTTTCTTCAACTGATTTCATTTTAGACACACTATCAATAGCAGCATTCTCTTTTTCAATAACTGAATCTATCCTGTATTGAATCTAAATATCTGTGCTTCTTAAGGTGGGTTGGGTGCTGTAGGTTTGGGAAATTGGTGCACAAAAAAATTCAAATTTTTATTAGCTGGGATTAGAGAACTGTTCTGACCCTATTCTTCTGATTGAAATGTCTGTCTTTTCCTACACAAGTTCCATGTAATGCTCTTCACATTTTGCGTAATTTGGTTTCTTCTCACAAGTTACTATTGAGATTTTTCTTATCTGTTCCTTGTGGTATCATTTGAAAAACTATCTTATTATTTTTCTCCTCGAGAAAAATTTGTCATTCATCAAATTTCAATAACCTTGGAAATCTAATTGATTATTTTTTAAGAAAAGCTACCTTCCAACTGTTTTTAAGTTGTATGGTTTATGATTTTGCAGTGCTAGACTTCACAATGAGGCTTGTGGAGATTGGATTTGAAAATGATGTTGTTCTTGCACTTGTTGTTTTCTCCCTTCAGTATGTTCTTGTTAATCATGAATTCTGGAAATATAATGTGAAGCATGCGCGCTGGAAGGTGACAACAAAGGTATGCATCTTTGTTTTCCTCCCTTACAAAAATATATAATGGCTGGGTTTTCCAACTCTCTTTGTTGGTAAGGTAATACGAGATTAAGATGATATTCAACTCAGTTTTAAATCTTTTCTCACTTGGAAAATCTGTTCTTCAAGTCATAAAGACGTGGTAAAGTTTGAACCTCTGAAAACTTCAATAAGATCATAGTAAAGAGTGTATGTAAACAAGAAGTTTCCAAGGTAATAACAATCTCAATGGATAGATCATGGATCCTTACAATCCCTTCAAGAATGTAAAACGAAATCCTTTATAACAACCCTAACAGGTTATGTTCATGTATGCCACATCTCAGTTCCATTAGAAGCTCAGGGCAACCGTCTAGGTCTACTGTGCTGATGTCTCATCACACTTCACCAAGCAAAAACTATTTGAAATATTGCTCGATAAGTAAAGATTATATGTGCTTAGAGTCTGCAATTGCAAGTCATCTGCAACTTCCTCTGAACCATCTTGCTCAAATCATTGCTTTGGGCTGCCCCTTGACTCTTTACTTTGCACGGGAATCTTCAATAGTACGCAGTGAATTTTCCTATAACATAATGGTGCACAAGACTTGTGTGTGGTTCACAACCATCCCTGAGATCATTGGAACCCTCCCAACTCGGCTCAATAATCATCATAATAACTGGTCTAACCTGTATATACAACTGCAGTGTTCTTCACAGTCATTCCTCTGATCACCAAAAATGTCCCAACACCATGTATGTACAAAGATCCTTACCGTGTGTTGTTCACAACCGTCCTGTGTGATAATAAAAAGTCCTCTGCACATTTTATTTCCTTCCCAGGCTGTTCAGGAAGAATTGACGCAATTCCCCAATCCTAACGAAGAAGAGAATCCAATGAACAACAACGTTACTTGTGACTTCCTTAGGCATGCCAACATCTGCTACTCTTGGCTAGTTAAGCATATGAAGGTCTTAGACTACACAGGTTTAGCTTACGTTAGTTGACGACACATATTTTTGTTCACTGTTTGTGATTTATTTTGAATCAATGAAGTAAGAACGTTAGGGGCATATAGAAACTGCCTTATTTTGTTCGATAAGAATGTGCATTTTTCATTTAATATGCTCTTATTTTTTTTTTGTATGGTAGAAACTAAGATGAATTCAAGATTTACAGTTCCAAATTTCTGTTGAAATGGGGTTAATTTCCTGAGTCGTAGGACATGGAGGTTATTGTTGGGCCTCCAACTTTTTGACTTCAGAATGCCCACTATTGTTCAGTGCTTGTGTAGGCAGAATTTAAATAGTAGGTTTATATGTTTTCTCTGTTAAGAAACTTTCCAACTGTTGTGGCAAAATTGATCTTGCGATTTCTTCTTTTTTAGGTTCTTGAAGTCATGAAATATATTTTGTCAGTCTTGTACCATTGGAAACTGGGTGAGGTCGTTCGAGATATTCTGCTTTGTGATGCTTCCATACACAATGCACTTTTCCGAATTGTTTGTACAACTACGCAGGGCTTGGAGGTCGACCATGCTCCCTTTTTTTCCTTATCCTAAAGTACATTGCTGCACAATCTGAAAATCATAGTCTCCATATTAATCTCAACTCTTTTCTGGTTTTCTTTTTTCACCTTCTGCTCCCGATAGAAACTTCATCTTAGCCGCCTGATTGAGATGACGGATATTGAAGGATTGCAACTAGCCATATCTACTGGCTTGGATGTTCTTGTTAGTATGGGATCTGATCTCTCAAAGGTATGCTTTTTAAAAGTTATTGTACTCGGTATTTGCTTAATTTGAAAAATTCTGAAAGCCAAATGATGTTGCATGCCTTCAACCTTGACAAAATTGACAACCTCAGAATTATCGTTTTGTATGGAAGGAAACTGGTTACAGTGATGTGTTGCTGATATTTATAAATAAAATCTGATTTTTTAGGGGATTTTGTTTGTAAATGAAGATCTAACACATAGGTTGTGCCCCTTCACCTTTCAATTTTTCTTCACAGTAGATTCACTTTCCCTTTACATTTTGATTTATATACTACCCTGATTGGCCTGGGGTAGCATCGTCTGTTCACGTTGAAGGGTGCTTCTTCTCCTTGGGGGTGGGATTCGGTGGTTAATTAATTTCAACTTCTGTCTTGCCTATTGCTTTACTATTGTGAGCTGGATAACCTGACTCTTATCCAGTTTACATTGTTTAATTATCTTTGGTAATATGCCAAAGTACCTGAAGGATATACAAAATTGCCTCAATGCCCGTTATCAGAATGACACTGATTTGTGTAAAATATCATCAATAAGAAAATTTGAATAAACTCCCACTTAGACTCACTGAAGGAGTGAAGGAGAGAACTAACTTGGAAACCTGTAGTGGGAGTGCTTTTAAGGGTTCAACTTTAAAAGAAAAATTGAGAGGGAGTGACTCATTTATTTCTCCGATTGATATATTTTGGAGACCTAGTAATGACATTCATCAATGCATATACGGTTGATGTATTTTAAGTTCTTATTTCAGTACAAAATAACATTTGCTTATACAATTTTCTCAGGATCTTACGAGTATTTCAGTATTTCATCAAGCGATGCTGTCACCAACAACAAAGCCAATACCTGTGGCCACTGCTGCCATGTCGTTGATATCGTACTTCCACAATCCTGTATGATCTATTTTCTGTACTATTCATAAATGACAATTCATTGTCATTTTAGGTTATATCACTTTTAAAACATATCAAGGTGTTCGAAGATAGACATTAATTAAATTTCAGATGATCACTACTTGGTGTTATCTTGCACTATTTGGGTTCCAATTAATACCCTCTTTGGGTGATGGCTTCCGATATTTCTTATTCAGCTAGAACTGAAGTTGGCAGTGCTATTTCTGCTTCCGTGAAGGGAAAGATGCCTGAGACTGACATCCTATGATCACACTAACTCAATCTTCACTGACTGATTAAATTGCAAATACATCTTAAAATGGTTGTGGAGTTATGCTGGCACGTGTTTGTGTATTTGTTGCATCTCAGGATCTTATGGATCAATAATATATTCTGTGGCTTCCCTTCTGGACATTTTTTTTTGGTGTTTGGTGCTTCATTTTGTTAGTGGGTACATTTCCTTTTTCATTGTTTCACGCAGAAGATACAGGCTAGTGCTGCAAGGTTGCTGTCCATGTTATTTGTTGTGGATTTTTCGCATTCATCTACATTGAGCAATGCTTGTTTTGGTCTGGATGATAAGCAGGTTTGACCCAGCATATGAAAGTGTGATTATTTTCTTCAGCTCAGAAAATCTGTTGACCCCAAATGTTCGTGGCAGGTTGACAGATGTAAGAATTCTATTTATAGAATTCTTTCTGAGCATTCACCTTGGAGTGAAGATCTCATTGTTGCTACATTGAAGCTGCTCATATTTTCTGCACGCTATCAGGTTTGAAGTGCTAAGTTTCATCTTTTGATTGAAGTCAGCATTCCTCAACTTCCACTATGGTGTGTAAAAAGTAATGTTCTACATGGCTCCGTTTCTGCAGCCTCCATAGGCTATCCTTTTTTTGTGTATGATTAAAAGATTGTTTCAGTATATCTTGTTCATAGTCATTTATCACTTGAAGTTCTGTTTGATCGTTACTTTAAGTATTAAAGATTATGCTGATTCGAATTGCACACGTTTATTTCTTTGATTCTTGGCTGATTGCTATAGCACCATACTGGAACATAATTATGTGGTTGAACTACTTCCAGAACTACACATGCACTTGCTTTTCCAGAGACCAACTGTTCCTCTGTAAGAGCTTGTTTCCAATTGCTGTGATACTTGCTGAAACTTGCTGTCAGCGTATACTACTAATTGTGAACTGTATGCCTCTGCATTGTTATTGTATGTTTCGGTATCTCCATCTATGGGGAATGTATTAGTGAGTGTTTGATGTCACTACACATCCATGTAACATCACCATTAACTGATTTTACTAAAATCTCCTGTGGCCTCTGTCTTATTTGCCATTGGCTTTAAGTCAGGTCCAAGTCTCCAAGAACAATAACTTATTGCTAGCAAAAATGTTTTCGATCTTCATAATCTGTTGTGATTGGATTTTATTGACACTCTTTTGATGCTGATGGTTTCTAAATGTAGCCTGCCTTTTGCATTGCCGTTATTGCTTCCAAAGAGAATTTAAATGCCCAATTGGGCAATACTGACTGTGAGCAGCAGCCTGATAAAGCTGACAAGGGATTGTTGCTCTCCAAGGAAGTCAGTCTTTTAGATGCAATTTTGCAAAATGTTGGAAGATCTGAGGATCTAATGAAAAGGTCTCCAATCTTTTTTGCTAATTAATTCGACCTACCAGTTCTCTTTTCTTTCTTAACCACAATACATCTTTGATTTGATGATTTCTATTTCAGCAAACCCCATATATTGTTAAATGTGTTGGACTTCCTCAAGGCACTGTGGCAAGATGCCCCTCAGTTTGCCAATATTTTGGAGCAGCTAAAAAAATCGGATAAGTTCTGGAGTCAATTGACCAACTGTGTCACGCTTATTTCCAGTATTAAAGATGATTTTTCTGGAAATTTGACCAAAATGGAGCTTCAAAGTCAAGCTTACGGATATCAATGTCAATCGATTGTTTTTGAAATATTGGCTTATGAGATATTCCTGCAAAAGAAGCTTATGCATGCTGCATTACTCATAAAGCAATCGTCTAAATTGACTGATGGAGGGGAAAAGGCAGATAATCCCCAAGTTCCAAAAGATGCAAATCTCACTAGCCTGAAGGACATCTTTTCAACCTGGTGTAAGAGTTCATTGTTGACTGACCTGATCAAGTCATGTGTTTCATGTGAATATGATAACAGTACTCACATCCGTGCAAAGGTGAGTTATGTATGCTTCGTCTATTTCCCTTCTTTCTTCTGCATCCTTAGATGGAACTGTCGATACATCTGATATGTTATGTGTTGTGTTTTCTCATCATTTACTGAGATTTGGTCCAAACGATGATTCATTGATTCTAAAGTCGTATGTTCATTGTTTAACTTTGCAGGTTGCTGCTGGTTTATTTGCCGTGCATGTGATGCGAAAATTAAAAACTGGTGACTTTGGAAGTTTGTCTGTATCACTGGTGGAAAAAATAACTATTTTGTCACAGAAGGTTTCTTTTTTGCTTAATTGGTTAAGTTACATTTCTTGCAATATCTGTAAGCAGTTTAAGCTCCCCACCCTCAACAGGAAATAAAAAATTACCAAATGAGTTATTGATTACCAGGTCATGAATATTCTTATGCAGCGATACATTTTCTTTTAACACTTCATTCAATTTGATGAGACGTACCCTTGCTGAAACTTCTAATTCAGATTTTTGTTCCTGTGTGCAGTTGAGCAAGTTGCCAGCCTTTTCAGAATTGTTAACACAATACACAGAGCGTGGTTATAGGTACTTTGTCACCATTCCCTCATTCACATGAAATATAATCCAATTGAGATTATTCTTAGCGATGTGTTCTTTGACTGATATTTCTTTTATTGTATTAGTTTTAAACCACTATTAGCTTTTAGTTTGTTCCTGCTGCTTCATAAGGTTCAGTCTTTTGAACCGGGTATGATTTTGCTGTTGAAAGTCCACAGAGTGATATCTCACTGATGGATGGCTTGGGCCTCCAGGGAAAGAGCCTTTCTTCAGCTTTCACCTATGTTATGCAGGAAGGGCTTCTTGTGAGCTCTTAAATATATGCTTTGACTTTGATAGCTTCTTAGCTTTGATATTACTCGTCTATTTCTTTGATTTAGTGTTAGTTGCTTTCAGAATGACATATAGTTCCTTTTTTCCTCCTTATTTCTCTATATCTAGGAGATGAAGCATGCATATTTTTTTTCCCTGTTTCAAGCATATGGACTGTCAAAACAGGAGTTATAGTAGCTTGGTTTAAGGAGGGTCTTTTTTCTTCTACATTATTTGTTTAATTGTGTATTGTTTTCCCCTTTTATTTTTCTTGGCTGTCACACGGAGGTAGTGTGACAGTTAAAGGCATTACTTGCTTGGAAACTATGCACTAGGAAGAATACTAAGGTTTTTAGCTGGATGATGCATAGAAGATTCAGTAAATTTAAGTTATCTGGCTTGTGTTCTGCACCTGAAATTCAGTAATGATCTCAATTTCTTTGTCCTTGTTCTACAGCAACTTGTCTTGTGCTGATGTCTACTTTTCCTTCTGTTGAATTTCAGTGAAGGAAATGAATTGCACAATTTAATACTCAATGATCTATTTTACCACATGCAAGGAGAGCTGGAGGGCCGTCTGATCGACAATAGACCTTTCAAAGAGCTCTTACAGTATCTTCTTGATTCGAGCTTCTTGGATACATATAAACATAAACGTGATTGCTTTTTACCAGAGTTTAAGGATGTCTACTTGTATGACACTGTTCGTTTACGAGCAGATTTGGGATTAGAAATGTGGGACCTATCAGAGTGGAAAACGTCAAAAGAAGTTGCAGAAACTATGTTGCACTACTTGCAGGATGTGAATTTGATGATGTTCCTATCAAATACCAAGGTTTCTGCATTGAGAGGACTAATAACCATGTTATATATGCTAGATGACAATGTGAGTCTCCTAATTTCTTGTAGTGATTCATGTACCATCTTTATTTTATTCAGTTTATTTTACGTATATAAATTTTGTAAATTGAGGATTTTGCAAGGATTAAGTACCTGACTCATCCAAGTTCTGGATCTATTTGTTTTCAAGTACACCTAAATATGAAGCTCCTTTTTCTCACACCCAGATTATTAGCGTCAGAAACATTTTATATACTATGTTAGAGATTGTCTCGGTGAATTGAACTTGTTTACATATATCCGCGCTACTTGCTTCTGACACGGGCAATTGACTTGACTTACATGTCTGTGTAATTTAATTTGCTTTTGTATCTTGATCCCTTTGTCATTTTTTGAGTTGGTCTAGATGTTAGAAAATAGTGCTAATCGTCCGTTACCTATTAATGAAACCAATAAAAGTTGATCTGCACAATTTTTCTATAATATATTTGAACTTTTCCGAAGTTCTAATTTTCTTTAATAGTTTTTTTTTTTTTAACTATGCATTCACATCTTTCAAAGAATGTTGGGTGTAGGAAGGGTTGCCCAAGAATGTATTTGCTTTTCTTTGAAATTTATTCAAGCAAATGTCCTAGTAGTCAATACATGCCATTGAAGTATGTAAGTGCATAAGTTTATGGAAATATAGTATGTTGGACTTAACATGATTAATGAAGAGAAATATGTAAAAATATTGTCAGTTATTCTTCCCAATACTGTTCGCTACTGTCCAGTCAGACGTGCCTGTTTGAACATTGAAAATCAACTACGTTCAAGTATTGGGCAGAGTTTATGTCTTTATGTATTTGTTCGTGTGTGCCATTGAACATGAAGCTGTAAAGATATATGAGCAATTCGTAATGTGAATTGTAAATGGAAGAAAGGATAATGAATATTTATTAGTTCTCTGAAACTGACCTGAAATTTTATTTGCTCGTGCAGTCAACTGATAATGAAGCTTCAGTTGGTCTAAAGGTTCCTGATCAATTAGTTTCATCATGCATCGATCACATATGCCAGTGCCTCCGTGCTACAATAGGATCATTAACCCCTGTTCATGATGCTAATGATGATGCCCTTGATATCCTTGCTGGTCAAGCAGAGCTACTTCTCACCCTCATCAGATCAGAAGACAAAAGGTCTTCTTCTCCAGCTCGTGTTCTTGTATTAAAGACCTCAGGTTATGGTCTTAAAGTGTTGAGTGGCTGTAGGTCATCAGCTGGTGTTAAAACATCAATGGAACATTTTCTTATGTTGATTCTCTGTTCAGTCAAGTTGACTCGCAAGCATTCACTTGCAGGCGGTGTTACTGGGAACAAATCTGTTGTAGACTTTGCTGAGACATCTAATTCGACTTTGGGACTATTACCCGTTCTTTGCAACTGTATTGAACTCAAAGATCATTGTGCATTGTCCTTAACAACTATCGACTTAATACTGAAAGGTTTCTCAACACCCTCTTCTTGGTTCCCCATCATACAGAAACACCTCCAATTGCAGCATATTATTCAGAAACTTCAAGATAAAAATTCATATGGAATTGTTTCAATAATATTGAAATTTCTTTTGACCATTGCACAAATTAGACATGGTGCCGAGATGCTTATAAATGCTGGTTTTCTAGCGTCTGTAAGGGTTTTGTTATCTGACCTTTCCGATGGCATGCCTTTCTCGGTGATACTTAGTGATAGGAGTTTCTCCAACAAGCTGGACAAGACTGAAAAGCCTCAACACATTTGGGGACTTAGCTTGGCTGTAATAACAGCGATTATTCACTCTTTAGGAGACAGTTCTACTAGTGTCGTGGATTATGTGATGGCTTGCTTATTGGTTGAGAAGGCCCCTCTAATTTCTTATTATCTTAGTGCGCCAGATTTTCCATCTGATGGTAATGAGAAGAAGAGAGCTCGTGTCGTGAAAACGAACATTTCTCTTAGTGAACTTAGAGAAACAGAACATACAATAATGCTTATCTGTGTCTTGGCCAGACATCGAAATTCCTGGACTAGAGACATGAAAGTAATGGAGTCGCAATTAAGAGAGAAAAGTATCCATTTGTTAGCCTTCATTAGTCAAGCAACTCAACGCCATGGAGAATCCCCAAAAAGGGTTGCCCCTCTATTGTGTCATCCTATGCTCAAAGAGGAGTTTGAGTGGCACAAGATGCCATCATTTATAAATAGCAGAAATGGGTGGTTTGCTCTTTCTTCTCAGACACAATTTTCAGACATGATAGCAACTGAGATATATAAAGTCGCATTTTTTCTTCTGAAGTTTTTGTGTCAACAAGCTGAAAATGTGGCTAGAAGGGCTGAGGAGGTTGGTTTCATTGATCTTGCACATTTTCCAGAGTTACCAATGCCTGATATCCTACATGGCTTGCAGGTAAACCAGTCATATCTTTCTTCCACCTCGTTAGGCATCTTCTTTCTGTTTGGAAGTCAGATTTATGCAGTTTGGATGGCCATGATCTTGTTTGGTTATACTTAAAAATAAGTAGAAGTTACTTTGAGTTAACTTTATGTTTTGAAAAACATGGTAGGATATAATTCATTTTTACTTATTTTGAAAGTTACTTCAACTTATTTCCGGTTTAAGGCATTAAAAAAATATTAATCTTAAAACAAATTTATGAGTTAACTTTTTAAGCTTAGTCAGATATGTTCTAACTGGTGCAGCTACAAGCACTTCAATCAATGACGTTTTTGATGTAAGAGTCACGTGTGCCTTAGTTGGGGGTTACCTTTCAGTATTCTAATTTTGACAGTATTACATTGATATTTCCAGTTAGATCCCGTGGCATCCTAGTAACCATTTCTAATTATTTTATGATTACTCGCTATATTGATGTTAGGATCAAGGGATTGTGATTGTCACCGAGTTGTGTGAAGCCAACAAGATGAAGCAGCTTACCTCTGAAATACGAGGCGTGTGTCTCCTTCTGATGCAAATGACAGTTATGGCATTGTATTTAGAATTTTGCGTCATACAAATTTGTGGAATGAGACCTGTGTTGGGACACATCGAAAATTTCTCGAAGGAACTACGGTTGTTGATAAGAGGTACGTGTTTTCTCCTTCACTGCTTTTGTAAAGGCTTTTATTCGGATTAAATAGTTTAGTAAATTATAATTTAATTTCTTTAAATTTAATTTTACAGCAACTGAGGGGCTTTCATTTTTGAAAGAACCGATACAATCCTTGAAGCAAATTGTATCATATGTATATCCCGATTTACTGCAGACAGAATCACTTTTTTGACCTGTTATTGTAAATGCAAGTACGTTTCACTGCAGTTATCTGTTGTAAACTAAATTTATGTAATTGATCCTCTAGACAACAACTTAGATTTGATTTGTTCTTGTGTATGGAAAAGAAACTTTTCTTCTCTTCAATTATTTCGTGTGAGACCGTGTCTTCATGCATTGGCGTGTTATCCATGGTCCTTGAACTTCTAGATAAATCATAGTTGGATCACTAATTTTTTTTTTTTTTAGGGTTGGATCATTGAACTTCACGTTTGTTTTAAACTTCACTACTTGTCATATTACATTGCTTATTATCACTAAATTAATGGAATTTTCTTAATTGGTAGCTGCACATGTATTCTACGTAATTGCTGGCACCCTGGAAATGAGAGTTGTGATAATGTCTTTAGATTAGAATATTAGACGTGTATTTTTATTTAAACACTTTTATCGAGTAACGTAGTTGTAAGCTGACATACTATAGTGATTACATAGAAGAGTAGTTGTAGTGTGAATGTTAAGTAATTTTTTAATTTGTGATACACCGCTGATGAAACAGTGAAATTTTAGATTAAATTTAAGTTCAGTTAGGTTAGACTTGGATTAAATTTTTCCAATACTATTACTGCTGGTAGAAGGCTCATTTCTTCTCTGTCCAAAAAACCTGTTTCTAATTCTGCTTCTAGTACGATTTCTAGTAATTTCAATCAAAACCATCAATGATCTGTGGGCTTTTATTCGGCTCTGAGGTCTGCGCAGCGGTGGAGCCATGGTGTGGATTGGAAATCCCAGACGAGTCACGGAGCTCAATCAGGATTGCTTCGTCTGCTGCTTGCCTTTTTCCAGCGAAGCATCGCTACTACGGATACTTTTGTGTTTTTCACATATTCAAATCGACTGCGTTTCCATTTGTTTTTCTCCAAATCTTTAATGGTCAAACTGAGATTTGGGATAGTTTAAGGCAAGAGAGAGATGGTAGAATTTGGTGGGGGGAAGAAGATGGGTACGGTTTGCGGCGATGGCACGACGTCGGTGATAGGTGGGTGATGGTCGTCGGCAAGATGGGTGAACTTTGGTTTGGTTTCTCTGATGGAGGGGGAGGGGTGTGGAGAAGAAAATAATAATTTTTTGGAAGGGTAAATGTGTTTTAACTGAACTACTCGTTTTATTCGGTCAAAGTTAAAAAAAATTCAATTTCTTACCTACAGTTTTCGTCAATTTGGACTTGACATGCTAACTTTTTAAAGATTTGATACCTACACTGGCACAAATAAAAGATTTGGATTAAGTCTGTTACTAAATAAAATGTTTAGTACCTTGACTACAATTCTCCCAAAAAAAAGCAATAAATTTTTTTAAATTTATGAGTACAATATTTTATTGTGTGGATGTGTGTAATTGAAAATTAGTATAAGAAATAAAGAGTTTTAATTTAAAGGGAGTCAAAAGGTGACTAATTTTTTTTCTGCATAATTTTTCGACGGAAGAAAGTGCACGATGGTGAGGGGAGTATTTTTCGACACCCATATTTGAAAGTGATTATAATCTAGGGAAATTATAATAATTCAGGTGTTTAAAGATTGGAATTCAAAATTCAGGGATCAAGTTTTATTATTCAAAAATCAGGTAATATAAAAACCCTAACCTTTATTTATCATTCTCACCCTCACATTTCTCTCTCTCTCGCCTCCCCTCCCCTCTCCTCTCCCCTTCCCTTTCCTCCGCCTCCCACCATATCTATCTCTCCCCTCTCCGCCGGACAGCAGCGTCGCCGCAATGCTGCTAGCGACGCTGCCATTCGCGTAGCAGCGCGCGACGCTGCCACGAACTGAGCAGCGTTGCGATGCTGTCGTTCGCGCAGCAACAGTCGCGATGCTGCTGCGGTTCGAGGGTTCTGGTTGACACTGCTGTGGTTTAAGGGTTCGGGTATGGAGTGATGTTGGTGGGTATGGATGCGGTGGTGGGCTTGGCTGGCGTGATGTTGGTGGCGGGTTTGGTCGGTCGTTATGTTGGTCTAACTGGACTCAATTTGTCCAAGAATCAACTGAAGGAGATTCCGCAGATGTAAGGAATAGGCTTAATGTGGTGAATATTCTCTAAGAGAGAGGCCTCATGGAGTATCTGTGGGGTGGTGAATTGGTGGTTGGTGGCGCATCTATTGATGGTGGTGGCGGATCTGTTGTTGCATGTGTTTTGTGGCTGTGGGTGTGGTGGTTTGTGGCTGCTGCGACCTATGACCAAGCTGCGGTAGTCTGTGACCAAATGTTTGGTAATCTGTGACCAA